TAGCATTAGAGGCTGTTTTCCAGGAGATCCAACCATATGATTAGAAGTTTGACCTTTTGGTCCCATCCCTAAACTTCCAAGGAAGGCAGAAGGGCTGGAGATTAAGTTCAATCACCAATGACCAATGACTTAATCAATCATTGCTGTGTAATGGAGCCTCCACAAAAACCCAAAGTACATGGTATATAGCACTTCAGGGTTGGTGAGCGCATGGAGACTGGCACAGAAGCCTGCTCTTCTTTCCACACACCTTACCCTATATATCTCTTCCATCTGGCTAACTGCTCTCTAAAGGTAGGTAGTGTTCTAATTGAGTTGAAATGTAGGACACACAGCTGGTGTCCAAGAATTGCTTGGTGGTATAGGGAAAAACACACATTCGAATGAGTACCAGAATCATCCTTACTAGTCCTATCTCCAAAAACTCAATGGAGACACTTTTATCTCCTTCTATCACCCTCCCTTATAAGTTTGTTTCAATGTCTATGTTCTGTAAAAAGGAACTCCTTCTCACTACTTATCATTTATACATCAATATTTAGAGAGTGTCCTATGTATTGGCAAAGTGTTGGTTAGAAATGTGTAATTACTGATGAGGAGGTAAGGAAAAGAAAATGATTTAGAATTGTTGCATGCTCTTGACTTGCACACGTGTTTTGGTCAAAAATTAGGACACAGACTAGTATGATGTAAGGTGGTAAAGAACAAATGTCACTAGCCTTCCAGACCATCTTTGGTGAAATTACATCTCCAGTAGAAACTTGTGTTATCAGAAGGAAAAAAAAATCACCTCAACTCTTCAATGCTCAGGTGCCTGACCTGGCTATATGGCCACATGCTAATGGGTTGATCTTTTAGTACAGACCAAGGCTCCTGGCTGAGCCTGTGGGTTCTGAGCTCTGAAGTAAACAGATTCTAATCAGGAAATTTGCTTAATGTGCTGTCTTGGCTTTGTACTGACTGGTGATGATTCTTTCGTACTAAAGGTGCAAAACTCTTCTTCTGTTCTAGGTAACATGAGTATATTTTCCCCTGCCTGAATATTATTCATTTTACCTCTTGGCATAAGAAGTATGCATCATGGTGCTCTGAATCATAACTAAACTGTACAGTAAAAGTCATTGGAATGATATGTATCATCGGTTGTAACAAAAGCGATTGTGATCCAGATGCAGCAGGAAAAACTCTTCCTCTTAAGAACTAGGTAAGATGGACTCAATCCCACCTTTCCTAGACTTTTGACTCTCTTCATCACATTATTTTGAGGAGCTTACATTCTTATCTTTATTTCTGACTCCAAGCTTTTGTTTATGATAAATTATTTCAGTCTGAAGATGGTCTTGTATGCTCTGTACCTGGCTCATGAAGATAGGGTACACTGCCTTGTTAATTTTATTAAGGAAAATGTTTGACAGTAGGAGACTGTATTAAAATATTAGGAAGGAAAGGAACTTCTATTTAAATTAAGCCCTATCTCCCCCAACCAAAAAAGAAAGTCCAACATTGTTAGACATTTTCGATGAGCAAAGTGGATAGGAATAAACCTCCAGCATCAAAGTGCCTGGGGTAGAATTGTGGCTTTACCACACTGAGTCACTGTGTGGCCTTGGGAAAGTTACTTCACATCTCTGAGCTTCACTTTCTTCATGAGTAAAACAGTAATAATAGCACCTACTTCATAGGTTTTTTGATGGGGAATTTTCCATTAATTCGTATCAGTTGCTTAAAACAATTTAACATATAGCAAGTTTTCAATAACTATTACTAATTAATAAAAGATATTTAAAGGCCTTAGATCATTTCTAAACTCATGATTGTTAAAGCTTGGTCTTTGTGTCTTTCTGCTCAACATCTTCCTCTTCTGCCAAATTTCTATTTTAATTTTTATTATTTTGTGATTCCTAATTTTATTTTATTATGTTGTTTAATACACATTAGTTTCACCATCACTTTTGTGGCCTTAGCTCTACATGACTAATAGTCTTGGGAGTTACTGCTCCAAGTGGCTTATTGAGGCATTTTCTTAAACTAGGACAAATTCCTCTCTAAAAAGGATTATGAAAGCTACTGATATTATATACAAACATGTATAATCTGTTTATCTATATAATACACAAAATCATTTGCTTCTAAAATTCTATACACAGTTGTGTACACATAGGATATCCTTAATTGATAGAATATATTTTGATCCAGTTTGTGCATTTTTAAAGGTGGTACTCTAATGTGTCATTGCACTTTACGAGAGACTGACTTTTGGTCAAAGTCACTTGCTAAGTGCAGACGGGGATTTTAACTAGACTTTGCTCCCCAAAGCCCAAGCTCCTTCTACTACACCTGCCAGCTGTTTGTGTGATCTCAATTCTCACAGCCATCTCAGGAGACTGACACTGTTGCTTCCCCTGTTTACATTTAAGGAAACTGAGGCTCAGGATGATTATGTAAGTTGTACAAGATCATGCAGTTAGTAATGTCAGAGCCAAAATCAGACCATCTGCCTTTTGAAGATCTATTTTTAACAACTATGCTACGCCCTGGCCCAAGGCTCAGGCAGTTGAAGTGCTGTCCTGTTCACCAAAAGGCTGTAGGTTTGATCCTTGGTTGGGGCACATACGGAAAGCAACTGGTTGATGTTTTTCTGTCACACAGATGTTTCTCTCTGTCTCTGTCTCTCTCTCCCTTACTCTCTCTTTCTAAAATCAATAAAACATAATTTCAGGTGATAAATAAGAAAAACAACTATGCTGTATTAACTATCACCCCAAACCAAAGGGGATCAGATAGACAAAGTGGAGGATACTGGATAAATATATAGTTGAGATAACAGATGGTTTGTTATAATACAACCTATGAAGAGCCACTGGTAAAAGAAAACAAACAATTCCCTGTAGAAATTCTACAGAATCCATCGGAATGCTAGCAATTTAGTCAAACTTAGTTTATGGAATACTGATTAAACAAGCATTTGCTTCATAGGATTAGCCTTCCTGTTGGTCCATAAGATGTAAATAAAATGTTAATGTTAAAACCAAGTGGGAGAAAGGACTTATTTTGAGAGGAAAAATACAAGAGCTCTACTCTAGAATATTGTTATTGCAACATAAGGAGAAACCAGGAGGATAAGACAGCCAGGCTTTTGAAAAAAATGCAGCTGAAAATGCAACTTGATAGTTTCAAGCATGAAAAGATGAAAAAAATTCAGATTATTGCGTGTGTGCATGTGTGTTTGTTTTATTGAGCTTCTCCTGCGGCAAACTCCTCGCACCCCCAAGTAGCTGGTGACTCCAAGCCTTCTGATGAAAGCACAGTATGTGAGGATCACTAGTTGGCATTCTCTGCGGGAGAGCAGCCTCACACAGGGGTGACCCTGTGATGCACTAAAGGCTATTTAATGTCCCGGCGAAGTGGTTCTGGGGCCAGTATTTTATTAAGCTTCGGGGATGAGACTTGTGATCCCGCATCCTTGATTTAGAGCCACTTAGAGCTCTGACAGCTCCACCCCCCTGTTCTAGAGTAAAATACTCCTTCATGCTCTCTGCCTGATCTGAAAGCGACGCGGCTTCCAACGTTCCGCCAGGGAGGGAGGTGGTTCGGTCTTTAGAAATTGCCCGAGAATCCTGTCCATCTGCAGAGGTGCCTGGCTTTCTGGAACTGACAAGGAGGAGCTTGACTTTTAATCTGAGTAACTTGAGGATTTTCTGTTTGCAACTTAAAAATCGCCGCTTAATTCAAAATGCAGGAGACACACGCTCCGGCTTTGTTGACATTGGGAAAATCCAAGTGACGAAGTATGGTTTAGAAATTCCTGATTTAATTTCCCCATGTTAAAAGTAAACATCTTCTGTTTGGCACGGGCAATCCACTCAAGTCATTTGCCTTTTTTAAAAAAGGTATGTGAGAGAGGGGGGTGAGGCGTGGGAGAGGAAAAAGAAGGAATCAGCTTACCACGTACTTCATCCCCAGCCAACCGCAGCTGTTCTGTTAACTCCTAGAAAACCAGTTCCCACCTCTGCTGCCTCCACCAGCCCCTTCCTGCCTCCTCGGCCCCGCCCTCGGACCCCAACTCTGCGAGTTCCCCGCCCCTACTGCCCGGCCCGGCTACTAAGGAGGCTGTAACAGCGCCGCCGAAAAGTCCCCCGAGGAATGAGTCAAAGCGGTTGGAGTTTTGGAGAAAGAAAAGGGTAATTTGGTTTTCGGAACCACGACAGGGCTGGGTGAGCAGCGTGAACTGAGAGAGACCTTTATTACCCTTATTACCCCAGGAATGCCACACGCAAGTGCCAGCCCAGGGGGCTCCCCAGGAGCGCAGGGCTTCTGTGTCTGCTCCTTATTGGCTCGCTTGTCTGAGGGGGCGGAGCCAAGAAACCCCGCCCACTCGGGCGCGCGCTCCCGCGCGGGTGTCTGAGCTCAGTCTTCGCACCGGTCCTGCAGCGCCTCTAGGCTGCAGATCTGCGTTCCAACCACCTGCTCTGAGCTGCGTCCTGGGAAGCTGGTGGAGGGAGAGTAGAGGGAGGGAGGAGTCGGAGGGAGGAGGAAAGAGGCGGCTTACACACGCCTCCCAGTCTCCCCACTCAGAGCAGCTCGGAGCGCTGCTGCCGCCGCTGTTGCCATCCCTGCTGCTGCTCTTGCTGCCACAACTGCTGCCCACCTGAGAAGACCGCCTGGACCCGCCGCCCCCTGTCGCCACCCCTGGCTATTCCTTCTTATCACCGGCTTTTTACTTTGCCACTATTATCATCGTTATTATCCCAAGAGAAGGGAAATAGCAGACCAACCAAAAAGAACCACATACACCTTTCCGAATTGCTCAAGTGTCTCCCAGGAAGAGAGAGGGTAGCCGGTCCCCGGAGAAGCAGCCAAGGGGCCAAGGGCTAGTGTTGTAGGGAGGAGGAGCTGGGGCACGGCGTGGTGGAAAGTTACGTGCGGCGGACACCCGAAGGTGCAGCGCCACAGCCCCGGGGGGCCGAGTGTTTGCGAGAAGCCGCTGCCCGCTGCGTCCCGACCCACGAGTGCGCGGGCAGCGCGGGGCACAGGGAAAGGCGCTTCCTCCTCCGTCGCGGACTCTCGGTGGTTTCGGAGGACGAGGAGGAATATGGCACCGAAGGCGGCCCCCTCCTGCCGTCTGGTCTTCTGCCTCTTGATCTCCGCTGCTGTCCTCAGGCCAGGTGAGCAGGGGCCCCGGAACAGCCCAACGTGGGCCGGGGGCAGCTTTCTTAGGGCCCCGGCCCCGGCCCCGGCCTTGCACCGCCAGGCAGTGCGCCCAGGATCCTGGGGGAAGTAAAGGGACGGCGGTGCGGGCGCAGAGCTGGCTTTGGGTTCAGTCACCTGTGCCACACGTTTGGGCTCGGCCGGTTGACTCAAGTTTGCGAGGCGACGGGGGCACTGGGTAAATCTCCAGGAACTTTGGGTGAGGCCCGGGCCAGGGCTTCGGGGGCCGGAGGGCAGGATTCGCCTGCCTCCTCTTCCCGCGGTGGCTCCCGCCTGGGTGGCGAGCTGTTGCCCACTGACAATCCAGTGCCTGATTTCAAAGTCCACGTCATTTCGCTCCGGGCAGTTTTCCTTTCGCTTAGGTCTTGCGAGCAATAGCTGGGCGCACTTTTTTCGTGATAAAACCCCGTAAACTTCCCCTTGGTCTCAGGCGAAGAGGGGATGGGAGAGGTAGAAGAGAAAGAGGACTTTAATTGCTCCCTTAAAATCCTCCTAAAGCTTAAATCGTGGTTCGGACCCCTCCTCCCCCATTTTCTTGGTGGGCAGTGAGTTTAGGACGGATAGTGGGCAAAGAACCGAGCCAGGTTTGACCTTAAATGTAGGGTTTGTAAAATTTTCAGGTCCTGTGATTCAACCTCAGGTCTCAGTTCTGTTCTGAGCCTCAGGAGAAATCATGCAAAACCCCCAACAACTAAAATTTGTCGCCGGGAATCCCTTTCTGACCCTGGGGCGGTCCTCCGGCTCCGTCATCCTGAGACCCGGGGGTGGCTGGCACGAGTTGGTCCTAACAGCGCGTTCTTCGCGCTCTCCTGCACTTGACAGAGCAGCAGGTTTATTTCCTCGCTAGACTTAAGAATTTTTTGGATTTTTTTCCCCATAGGAAGTTTTAATTGCTAGCCCTGCCCTTCATAGAGAGTTGCAAGTACAACTCCTACTTCCTGTTATTTCGGGTGCTATTTATTCTACTCTTTTCTTTATTTTTTTAAGTCAGAGAAAGACTTCCTCGTTGCATCTTTAATTCTGCACATCCCTTCCGCTGTTGGCAAGTTGAGGCCAAGAGAGGACGTTTGAAAACCTCTCGACCTCTCCCCCAGGAAAACGGGGACAGTGGGGCCGGGGGCTGGAGCTGAGGATCGTACGTGTTTGTGAACTGCAGCTGCGTGTGTTTGCGTGCTCGGTGGAGGCGCAGGGGAGGGGGTGCTCTCGCGATCTCTTTCTGAAAGTTACATTTCTGAGTGAGAGGCAATGAGCTCACCTGCTGTTCCGAGGTTGGAGAAACAGTGTGAGCTGTGTGTGGCAGATCTCCGGTCTGGGGCGGGGACTGTGCAACACGAGTTGAGCCGGATTTAAAGCCGGTGGGGTTGGGTAGGAACAGCGGGGAGGTGGGGGGAGAGACCCCCTCGGGTTTGGCACAGTGCAGATTTGCCCGTTTTCTGATCCCAGTGTCGCTGTGGGAAGGAAGGGCACTCACACGCCGAGAGGAGAGAAGAGCGGATGAGGGCGATGAGTTTGTAAAATGTAAAGATCCACCCGCCCACTGTTGGCTTTTCAGTTTAACCGTCTCGCCGCTTTGAGAGAGCGTCTCACCTACAGCCCCACCCTGGGAGCACACTCACATGCCCAGTTTCCTTTCCAGTGCCCTCGCTCTGGTATTTATTTTCAGTGGGGTCAGATCAGAGGACAAGTTTTTCTGCACATTTAATTGCTCAAAGGGGAGAGGTTCTGCTTTCAGATCCGATTCGTAGCGATTCTTCCGGCGCACCAAAGGCGCTGGTCTCCACACCGGCTTCCTCTCACTTCCCGCAAGCCTCAGGCGGGGCCCTCCTAGGGGTGGAAGCCTCAGCCCTTCAGATCAGCGATTTCTCTGAATTTACCGGACTAGCAGAAGCGTGAAATTGTCAGTCAGTGTGTTTTAGCAGAAAGGATTAGCGCCGAAAATACCTTGTCCTGACTCTGGACTCAAGTCCTGGACTGCAAGTGAGCCTTCTTCCGAGCGCTGCCCACAGCTGCGCCCCGGAAGGATGCCGGGCCAAAGGATGGCTTGGCCAAAGGGGCCTAGTGTCTTGCCAGCCCGCCGCCCTATATTTCCCAAACAGCTGTGACAGTGTGCGTCCAAGACCTTGAGGGCAAAAATCCGAGTTCATGTACCCTCTCCTGCGGGTCTTTTGGTCTGTAGTCACTACATACTTATTGATATGTTTTAGGCATGGCACATTGTAACCTGTTTTGAAGAGAAGGGAAAATACATATGAACCAAGAAAACTGAATTCGGAGTTATAAAGGCAATGAAGTATGTGCTAATCATCCTGGAGAGAAAAGAATCTAATTATTCTTATAGAAAGAGCGTCAGCCTGTGGTGACATTTTGTATTGCTTATAAAAGGCTTTCCTTGATTATTTACAACAAGGAGGTGGAGCTCTGCAGTTAACTGTTGCTTCACTTGAGTCCTCTGCGCACACGCCTCTGTGGAATTTTAGTAAATGCCGGATAGAAGGCGAATCCCAAGACATAAGCACAAGGAAGGGGTTTGTTTGGTACCAGTGGTGTATTATGTGGGCAATGTATCAGTTCATCTCAAAAAAGGCCTTGGGAAAAGCATCAACTCAAATCAGATAATGTCCTTGCAGACTCCATGATGTGAGATAATTAAAATGTATTCATTTAAAAACTGAAAACTTGAGTTTAGTTGCCACAGAATATTGCTTTTTTTCTTTGATGATTTATTTAATCCAATAAAAATTATAATTTATTACAGTACTCTTTTCAGTAAATTGCTTTTCTAGGTTTGACTCACCTTTTCAGGCTTTCCCATGTGTAAGTAGAAGGTGGGCTACAGATACAGTGTGGGAGATACCTGCAGCTCAGAACTCTGTCTCTCACTGCCTACGGTGAAAAGCCAATTAGGGCAAGGCAGACTCATTTTCCTGTATTTTTCTAATTCTTTCATACAGTCTGGGTGGACGTGATTTGTATACATTTTGTTACTAGAAAATGTTAGTGTACCCCAACTGCTAATTTTTCATCTTTTTTTCTACTTTTATAAACTCATTTTAATATCTTGTGCTTACTACTTCAGGCCAGAATAGTACTTAAAAAAAAGTCTTGGACAGGGATTACTCTCCCAGTCTTCTGGGTAAAGAGATCCAGGAAAAGGATTTTAGATCTCAGAAAATCCCCAAAGTGTAACCCATTCAGTCTGGAAGTGACAGTTGATGCAAATTCATTCATTTAACAAAGCCTTATATGTACACCTGTTCCATGCTTCTAAACAAAAAAGTTGATTTGTGCTGTTGTTGTGAGTGCAACATAGAAGGAAATAGAAAATACCAATGTTCTCTTCATGTTTTCAGTTTTATACAAATCCAAAATATTTTATGACTAATATAACAAAAGTTGTTATATTCCAAACCTTTTCTGACTTTTAGGAAAATTCTAACTATCCTATCATTTTTAATGGAAATTTGGAGGAGAACACTTGTCTACTGTTGACATATTTTTTAAAAATCAATAAAAATATACTTTAATTGTTGCAAGTATTTACAGAAAATTCTATCTATTGGGGTTGGTACGAATGTGCTCAGTTTTTAGCTATGCCATATAAGAATGTGGTGACCTTGGGAAAGTTACTTCTCTGCTCCTTATAATTTCCAGTCTATAGAATTTTCCACTTATGTAATGCATGGTTCTGATTAGTAATTCCTTTGCTCAGTTAGCATTTTAAAATTTCAAGTAAAACATCCTATATTAAGACTTTCATTATATTCTTAATGGAGTAATACTCTTTATTTCACTTCATTGTCACTTGATCATTTTATTAAAAGCAGGAAAAGTAGGGGTTTTTTTCTTCCGTTTTTTCTTTACTCCCCAAGTTTTCATGCCATTAAACATGGGCCTTTGTAAAACTAAGCACAAAGCTATCAGCATTACTTGGTATAAGATGGCAGTATTTCATCACATTGTATTTTAAGTGTTTTACAATCACTTTGTCTTATATTCTCAACCACACCTCTTTTTTTTGTTGTTCTGGCCATTTATTTTGTATAAAACATCATAGAGTTCCAGCGCTCTGAGTCCATTAATGGAAGTAAACTCATGCAATATAGGTTCCAAATATACAGGAGAGCAACATAGTGGAGCTATGATAAAAGAGTATCTTTGTGCCTCTGTGAATATATATGAACTTATATTCAACTCTTCTTTTTTTTTAAATTTTTTAATTTTTTAAAAAATATTTTATTTATTTATCTTTAGAGGGGAAGGGGAGAGGGAGAGAAGCATCAATGTATGGTTGCCTTTCATGCGTCCCCTGCTGGGAAGTGGCCTGCAGGGAACCGGCCTGCAATCCGAGGTACGTGCCCTGGCTGGGAATCGAACCGTAATTGTCTGGTTCGCAAGCCCCCGCTCAATCTACTGAGCTACACCAGCCAGGGCGTCAACTCTTCTCAAAATGTTATTTTATTCTCTATTGTTAGGCTTTCACAAAGGACCATTTCATTTTTTTAATTTTAACTTAAATTTATTAGGGTGATATAGGCTAATAAAATGATATATGTTTCAAGTATACAGTCCTATAATATATCATCTGTATATTTCATTGTGTGTTTACCACCGAGAGTCAAATCTCCTTTTGTCACCATATATATGACTTCTTCATTTCATTTCTTACATATATTAAAAAATGAGCTAACTCATTGGAATACTAAACAAAGTTTTCTCTGAAGTGGTAGGCGATGAATTAATATTTGACTTTTACATTTATATATCATTTTTCAAAAAATTTTATAAAAAATAAAAAGACCAGAAAAATGCCCATTTGTACCTCTTCTTATTTTTTAAAAAAATAGGTCAGAATTTTCTCTTCCCTGTGGAGATCAAAGTCAAGACTAAAATATATTCTCTATATTTAAGAAGGGAAATATAGGCTATTTGATGAGGTTAAATCATGCAGTTATTATAA